CTCCCCTCTGGTAGCTGTCCCCCTGTTCTCTATTTCAGTGTCGTTGTTTTTATTTTGCTTGCTTGTTTGTTTTGTTGTTTAGCTTCCTGTTAAAGGTGAGATCATATGGTATTTGTCTTTCAGTGCCTGGCTTATTTCACTCAGCATAATGCTTTCCAGTTCCATCCATGCTGTTCCAAAGGGTAGCAGCTCCTTCTTTCTTTCTGCTGCATAGAATTCCATTGTGTATATATACCATGATTTTTTGATCCATTCATTTACCGACGGGCACCTAAGTTGCTTCCAGCTCTTGGCTATTGTAAATTGTGCTGCTATGAACATTGGGGTGCATAGGTTCTTTTGGATTGGTGTTTTAGGGTTCTTAGGATATAATCAATGTGTTTTAATCACAGCACGTGATTATGATGTGCTTGCAGAGCTGAGTACCACTAGCATGGAAAGTTTAGGTTACTGGCTTGAAGGATACGGAGTCCAGCATATATACTAGAAGATATTTTAAAGCCTAGTGACATCAACCTTTTTCGTTTTAATTTGTGATTGTAAATTGAAATGTGCATGCAGCAAAAGAGAACTGGGATTGAAGGTTCTCATTATTTAAGTTCTCTCAACACTTCTTTTGCCTCAAATCTAACGTTTTATTTACCTACTTGTCTATTTAGCACCTATTATATGTCAGGTGTTATGGATTAAAACATGAACAACAAATGAGCCCTGTTCTCTAGGAATTTACAGTCTAGTATGGGAGTTTACAGCCTTTTTCTACAAAGAGCCATAAAGTCTCTGTCACGACTATGAGACTCAGCAGGTATAGTGAAAAAGTAGCCATAGACAACACACAGACAAATAGATATGCCTGTGTTCAAGTAAACTTGATTCACCAAAAACAGTCCAGGGTCTGGATTTGGCTGTAGGCTTCAGTTACCAACTTCTGGTCTCATAGAAGAGAGAGAAAATAAATCAATAATTTATTGATTGATTGTGAAGTAGGAAAAGTGACTAAAGCAAGCACCAGTGGCCTCAGTAACATAGAGAAGGGACATCAAGTTAGACTCAAGATTAACTGAAATATTTAGAAAAGATTTCTGAAGGAGGTGCTGTTCAAGTGAATTATAGAGAATAGGCTAGAGTTTGAGAAAAAGGAAGGAAGGATGTCGAAGTAGAAGGACAAACATGTACAAAGTATAGGCATGTAAGACAGCAAAGTCTCTTATGGAAACCACAAGAAATTCGGTGTGGTCAGAATGTGTGCAGGTCGCCTGTGTCAGCAGGAGGGCGAGGCTACGGAGATAGGCCTCGGCCGTATTGCAATGGGCCTCGGCTATGAAACGAGAAACATGACTATGAAGCTGAACATCTTGGGGGGATCAAATGAAAAATTAGGAGGGAAAAGTAACTTGTTGGCTGCTGGTGGGAAATAGGTAGACCTAATAGGAGACCGTTGTAGAAAACCAAATGAAAATTGATGAAGATGGTAAGTGTGGTCAAGATAGAATGAATATGAGAGCTATGTAGACAACAAAGTCTCTAATTCTTGGTGACTGATTGTGTGAGAGAATAAAGGAGAAAGAAACAGATAATTTCTAGATTTCTGACTCAGGTGACCCGATGGTGTAATTTATGTACATAGGGGGAGTAAACTTGAGTAACAGTACAAGAAGATGAATTCAGTTCAGAACTCTGAGTTCAATGTAAATGCATAACACTGAAGTAAGCTCTTCGGTAGAAAATGGGTTGCTACTTAGTCGGAGACAGAGATTTAGGAGTTGACCATGCATAGTGACACATGAGGCCATCAATTTAGATTAATTACCTATAGAAAGTCTATAAAGTGAAGAAACAGAGAGCAAAGGGCAAGGCCTTGGGTAACACGAGTAGTTAAGGACAAGAATTTTGAAGGTGTAGTCACATGGAATTGGGGGAAAACCCGAAGACAGGGCTGTTAGGTAGGAAGGGGTTTCAAGAAAAAGCAGTAGTGTTCAGTGCTGAAGAGAAAGAAAGAAATGTATCTCTGCCATTTGGTCTTGTCCAAAATGTCCACAGAGACATTTGGCTCATGCTGAAAGGTCCTTGATATTTGCTCCTGTTCCAAAAGGACTGTGGAGACATTTTGTCTTTAATTCATTACAGAATGCAAACACTGAACCTTGTTCAAATTGTATGGACCTTTTCTTTGTCTGTAATTCATGGGGAATTATGGGTTTCACATTGATTCTTGTCTTCTGCATCACGAAGTTTAGCAGGGTTACTCTGAAGTCAATGAGCAATTGCTCTTGAGTATATATTGACCTGATTATTGGCTTTCTATTAATTCTATCTGTGAATAGTTTCAATGATACAGATTTGATTCTGTTGGTATTGTTGTGAGGTTGGTGGCCACATTTGAGTGTGACCACCAAGAACCTGGGTGATAACTTGTCCATGGTTCTGCTGTTTATCTTTTCACACTTCAGGGACCTTTCAGTGTGAACCATGTCTCCGTGGATACTTTGGACAGGACCAAATGTCCACTGATCAACTTTCTACACTTTGAATACTTATGAAACTGAAATTAGAGTCTTCTAAATTATGTCTTTGTATGACTCGAACACTTAGGAGCAAAATGAACTTTTAGACCTTTTTTTGAGTTCTTCCATAAGCAACTATTGCTGGCATAACTACCAGGTTCATAGGTGTATGCTAGTTGAGAATTGTGAATAGAATCATCTAACCTCTTACTCAAAGTAATGATTGCTTGTGCACAGCCCCCATCCCAACTGGATTTGTAATTTAGTATCATTATTGGGAAGAATAATGCTTTTCTCTGCCTCTGAGCCTGACAGAACCAAGCCCATCTTTCCCGCTATCTATCCCTGATGTTAGGCTGTGAATTTCCCTAAATGATAAACAGCTTCATTGAATTTTCTCTTTCTACTCAATTCTTTACAAGTTGAAGGAAGAAGAATAGCCACAAAACAAAAAGGCTTTTATATATAGAAAATAATAGCTGTGCATTGTGAAACCATGTAGTTTTGAGCTAAAAGATTGATTATTAGCCATATTTTAATTTTGCTGCCTGCTGATTTGTGTTCTTTACAGCACTAAATATTACCTGACTTGGCCAGTTCCTCTGCTATGAACTTAAATCCATTTCTTTCTTGCCTCATGTTGAAATACTCTGAAGATGTATATACATACATGAATATGTATACATATTCATACTCATATATACATACTCATATATATACATATATAAGTATGTATTTATACTCATATATACATATATGAATATGAATAAATATAAGACATTTTATAAAAGTTGTAGCAATAATGAAAGAAAAAATTATTTAGAAAGAATTTAGAGGAAAAAAATGTTTACCAAAATTTTGTGAAATTAACCAAAAGGTTCACTGTGGTTGTTGCTGGTAGGGAGAATTGCATGTAATTTGTATTTTCTTCTTTTTATTTATCTACATTTTCTAAAATGAATGAATATATTTTCGGAAATAATATACAGCCCTGACCAGGGTGGCTCAGTTAGTTGTTTGGAGCATTGCCTGGTAAACCAAAGGGCAGGTTTGGTTCCCAGTCAGGGCACATTTCTGGGTTGTGGGTTCGGTCCCAGTAGGACATGTGCAAGAGGCAACCAGTCGATGTTTCTCTCCCTCTCCCTCTCTGTCTTCTCTCTAAAATCAATTAGCCTATCCTTGGGTGAGGACAAAAAAAAGTGTGTTTGTTGAGTTTGTTTTTAAGGCAAGTGCCTTTGTGATGATGTTATTGCTACTAGTATAGTTCTCCATTGTACTGTCTTAGTTTTGGACAACTGCAGCTTGGTATCTCTTTCTCTAAGAAATGTTCCTAGCCTAGGGAAAAGAAACATACCGCTCTGTCCTCAGGCTACCGGGTTGTTTTTATGGTGTCCATCGGTCATTCATACTTACTGAGCATCCATGTGCTGCCTTCTGTGGGAAAATAAAGCAAGAGGTATGTGTAGAAAAGTGTCAGAGTAGGGGCTCCCTTCAAAAGGGGGATCGTTTTTAACTTCTGAGAATTTATGAATCAATCCATCAAACCAGCACGATGAGGTCTGCTCTGTGCAGGGTGGTGAAATGGGTGCTGTGCAGATTTTAAGGGAGATCGACACATGGCCCACACTGGCTTCAGGAGCTTGGGGCCAGGTTGAGGACACAAAACTTGAGTGTGTCGGAACATTCCAGGGTTCCAGTGGTGTCATCCAGGTATATGTTCTTGGCCGGCATGGTGTTGTTCTTGTTGTTCCTTTTTTCATTCTTTTTATTTGTTTATTTTTTAATTTGAGAACCTATAGGCTGTATACACTTCTTAGTCAAAGCACAGGCTTCACGGATCCCTCTTTGATCCATGTACTTCACATATACCTTATGTCTCAGTCCTGCAAGACAGCTGGGGTTTGATCCCTGCTCCCAGCCTTAGGGCTTGCTAATTGCTGATAGGAGCGTAACGTGACAGATATTCAAAGGAACTCAGGAAAAATCAGAGGTAGGCAAGCACAATCATGAAAACCAAGATTAAATAACATTTTAAAGAAGCATTAAAATTAGCTGATTGGCCCAGAAAGCTGAAAACTGAGCTCATTAAAATCTTTGCTGTTCTTTTACAACTTGACTAGATTTAAAACTCTGCCAAGAGTAGAAACAATGTCTTTTCTATGTTTGAAACTCTATCTTACAGTGAGATTACAGAGCTACACTCCACAGGTGCTCCCTCGATTTCAAAAGATAGAAAAGGAGGAAAGGGCGTGGAAAGAGGAAGAAAAAAAGGAACAAAGGACTTAAAGTTGCCTCACTCTTCCAAATAATAATGGCATTCTTGTCTAGAATAACTAATGAAACAGGTCATTTTGCACACTTACCACTTTTCTAAAAGCAATGAGAAGGTTGGAACTAGGTTTACTAGAGTCTACAAACTCTTTTTTTCATTAACCACTTTCTTTAGTTCATATGTCTCTCCTAAACAACTTCTCTTCTGTTCAACCCCTTCTGTAGGAATGACTTATTGATGGTCTGTCGCCAACTGAATATGGAAGAGTCTGTGGCTGAGATCATGAACCAACTGGGCGCAGATGAAAATGGGAAGATTTCCTTTCAGGATTTTATAAGATGCCGCATGCAGCTTGTTCGAGAAATTAGGAAGGAAGAGGTTGGCCTTTCTGAGAAGTCAGACAACTCCTGTAAGAAGAAGAAACTGAGGGATAGAATTGCTTCCTGGCCCACAAGCAGTGACAACAGTTTGGGTAGGTACAACCAGGTGACAGTCTGATAGTGTTCTACTGGCTCTGCTTCCTTGACCTCTGTAAATGAAAGTGACCTTCCAGCCTGTTGCCAGCTTGCCCCTGGTCTGTCTTCTTGACCACACTTCACTGGTGAGAGCTCACTATTTCCCCTGTTCTGTACTATAGCTTCCCAGTTCCTAATTCACCACTTCCATTATTTTAGTTCTTTCTTTTCCCAAAGATAATAATGCCTTCAAATAGCTCCTAGAGAGAAGGGGTGAATTGGATGGCAAAGTTGGTAACCAAGTTAGCAGGCCTCAGAAACTACTTGAGAACTTCTTCAAAGGGTAGTGCACTGAAGTTTTCTTCACAGTGAGAATTAAACTACTCATTTGTACTTCTTGATCCCCTCACCTCCTCACCCATTCTTCCACACTCTCCTCCCATCTAGCAACCATCAAAACACTCTTGTATCCATGATTCTGTCTCTGTTCTTCTTGTTTGCTTCGCGTGTTTTTTAAACTGATAAGAACAGATACTATACTTGACCTTAGCCAAAAGGCCGAGAATTGGTAGCCAGCTTGTTTTTTAAATTCAACTTTTTATAGATATGTATTTTTGCCATTTTATTGTTCATAGTTTTGATTTTCTTTTTCTTAAATAAGTACCTTTAACGTTTCATATAATAATGGTTTGGTGATGATGATCTTCTTTATTTTTTTTTTTTTTTGTATTTTGGGAATCTCTTTATCTGTCCTTCCATTCTAAGTGGTAGCTTTGCTGGGTAGAGCAGTCTTGCCTGTAGGTCCCTGCTTTTAATGACTTTGAATATGTCTTGCCAGTTTCTTCTAGCCTGCAAAGTTCCTTTTGAGAAATCAGCTGACAGTCTCATGGGAACTCCCCTGACTGAAACTAACTGCTTTTCTCTTGCCGTTTTTAAGATCCTTACTTTATCTTTAAACTTTGGCATTTTCATTATGATGTGTCTTGCAAGAATGGGCCTATTTGCATTCATCCTGTTTGGGATCCTCTGTGCTTCCTGAACTTGTATGTCCATTTCCTTCACCAAATTAGGGAAGTTTTCTTTCATTATTTTTTCAAATAGATTTCCAAATTTTTGTTCTTTCTATTCTCCTTCTGGCACCCCTATGATGGGAATGTTGGACCTCCTGAAGTTGTCCTAGAGGTGTACACTATACTTGTGTTTTGGGATTCTTTTTTCTTCTTGTTCTGATTGGTTGTTTTGTGCTTCCGTATGTTCCAAATCATTGATTTGATTCTCAGCTGCGTCCACTCTACTGTTGTACATGGTTCTTTATTTCAATTAGTGCAGCCTTCATTTCTGATTGGATCATTTTTATGCTTCTGAGGTCTTCACCAATTTCTCTGAGCATCCTCATAACCAGTTTTTTGAACTTTGTATCTGATAGATTGCTTATCTCCATTTCATTTAGCTCTTTTTCTGGAGTTTTGATCTGTTCTTTCATGCAGGCCATGTTTCTTTTTCTTCTCATTTTGGCAGCCCCCTGTCTTTGTTTCTATGTATTCCATGTACAATGTGCACTCACACTTTTGTGCGCATTATACACGTGATTATTATGCCCATGGCACAGATTCGTTATAACCATGTATAGTACACATATAGTGGGCGAAAGAAGGTGCATTATACGTGGCAAAATACAGTAGGTAGGACTGCTTTGACTCCATATCTTAGTATTCCATATTATTGATTATGTTATTACAGTTGTCCTGATTTTCCAGACCACTTACTACAAACCTCCGCCCTCCATGGAGGATCAGCTGTGCAGGGTCTGGTTGGTGGTACTCCAACATGGTTTGTGGCTGTCCACTGCGTGCACTGGCCCTGGGGTTTCCCAGGTGGTGCAGGCGAAGGTCAGCCCCCACCTGTGTTTTGGGTGGGTCCACCCTGCCTGAGCTATAAAGTGATCTAAGATGGCTGCTACTTGTGCTGGGCTTGCATTTCCCAGTCAGGGCCAAGCTGTGAATCTAGGCTGGCTGCTGCTAGTGGTGGGCTTGGGGGTTCACTGAAGCCAGCTGTTGCTTGTTTGAGAGTATTTAGGAAGTTGTGAACCAGTGAGCCAAGACCAGCCATTCATATGGAAAAGCAGCTTGTGCGGACCTATAAACTGGGTGGGGCAGAATCTCTGGGGATCTCCAGAGATTTGAGCAGATCTGGGCAGATCAAATAGTGGCAGCCAGGTTGATAGAATCTCAAATATGGCACCAGCTTGCTGGCTCTTTGGCTCTGTTGGGGGAGGTTTTAGAAAACGGACAATGGCCCTGGCTGGTGTGGCTCAGTGGATTGAGCACCAGCCTGTGAACCAAAGGGTCGCCAGTTCAATTTCCAGTCAGGGCACATGCCTGGGCTGCAGGCCAGGTCCCCACTTTTGGGGTGTGCAAGAGGCAGCCACACATTGATGTTTCTCTCCCTTTCTTTCTCCCACCTTTCCCCTCTATCTCAAAATAAATAGAATCTTTTTAAAAAAGAAGAGAAAAGAATATGGATGATGGTCTCTGCTTACCTTGATCAAGTCTGACACTTTGGTTTCTCCCCATGTGTCACTGGTGCCTTTCAGGCTGCCACCCCAGAGGTGGAGCTCAGAGGGAGTGAGTCTGAGTAGGGTGAGTCCATGTGTGGGTTCTTTAAGAGGAACTGCTTGGGGCTCCAGCAGTCTCTATCACTGTCTCAACCCCAGCTAGTTTTTGAAACCAGAGGTTGTGAGGACTTAACTTCCTGGCACTAGAACCCTGCGCTGTGGGGCCTGGTGTAGGACTTGGACTCCCTGCTCCCATGATATCCCATCTGAATGTTTAGCCACCACACATCAGTGTGGGACCAGTCTGTTCCGTGTCTGTGCCCCTCCTACCAATCGGACGGTTGTGGTTTCTTTAATTCTGCAGTTGTCAGACTTGCATTCAACTTTGCTTCTGACAGTCCTGAGTAATAGTTGTTCTATATTTTAGTTGTAATTTTGATGTAGTTGTGCAAAGAGGCTAGCCCTATCTGCATATGCGAGCACCTTGACTGGAAGTCTATAAACATGTTTTTCTGTTCATAATGTTGTTTTCTATGAATACAAAATAAGCACTTGGCAAGTTCTTAAAAATGTCAATAACTATTGAAGCTGGGTGATGGAAATGTGAAGTTTATTGTATATATTTTTGATCAATCAAATATTTATTTTCTAGTACATTTGCAATTTTGCATAATAAAAATTTAGAAATATTTCATATTTTATATCACATTTTTATGAGTATTGAAGAAATATATACTCATTATAGAAAATAAGGAAAAGACACGCAGAGGAAAATAAAACTAGAAATAATAACTACTGCTTACATTTCTCCTTCTCTGGTTCTCTCGCTCTCGTATATGTGTGATTTAATTGTTTTTTACTATTTTTTCACATACTTTCTATATAGCCCTTTGCATTCTCCTTGTGCTTTTAAATGGCATTTGAAAGAGTGGTTTGTAATGGTTGCATGACATAAAATGGAGACTCAGTAATATTTATTAAATTAAAGAGTGGAATTCTTTTCACAAACTGTATGTTCTAATTTCTCTGCCAAGATCATGGATCTCTTATATACATGCATATACACACACATACATATTTGAAGGATTAAATAAATGATAGTATTTCTCATCAAGTGAATACCATGTAGCCATTGAGGCAATATATAAGTGTGTATCCAATTTGGATATAGATGGAACACTTCTGTGGAAAAAACTATACTGTCAGAAGTTGTATTTTAATGTATAGTATATGATTATAAATATTCTAAAAGCAAGAGGTTTGAGAGAATTGCTGACTACATCCGACTGGGCTGATGTAGTCAGCAATTCCCCCTCCTCTTCTCCTGCCCCACTTCTATCTCATAAGATTGCCCCAAATAGAGAAAGGGTTAAAAACAATTTCTTTTCATCTTTTTCTATAACTATACCCTTGGAGAAAGAAGTAACTGAGAGGAGGTGAATTATAAAACGTGTCATGAACTGAGGAAATGGCAGCTGATGTGAAACCTTTTACCAGTTTATCAGTTAAGGCTTCAGAGTCAGATGGAGCAGGAATCCTGGTTCTGCCGCCTGCGCCATACCAGACAAGTTACCTGACCTCTCTGTATCTCGGTTCCCAATCAAGTGTGATGCAAGAACAATTATTGTTACTTGGAGGGATGCAGCAACAAATACATATTTACATGTATGTAATACATATGTACGTAAAGCACATAAAACAATGCCTGGCACATCATAAGCACCACATATTAGTTAACATTGTTATTATTATTACTACCCAGTTTTACTTCCTGGAAACTGTCATAATTACAACTCATATGTCAGAAAATGACCTCCTATCCAGTCTAATATAAATGCAACGCATCTTCAATTTTCAACAATTAAAGATTTATGTGTTCAATTAGTTCCTCTCTTTTCTACATCATTAGTCTTGGCTTTTGACTCTATACAGTATCTCCCTTCTTGGGGTTGGGGGAGCACTCTCTTGACTTCATGTCCCTTCTCACTCCTGGCCCACTTCTCTTCAGGACAAAGCTTTTTGAAAAGTGTGTCTACTTGGAATGTTTACCAGTCCTTATCTCTCATTCTTGCTCCAATCCACTCCTCCCACCTTTCATCACCACTCCACGGCACCTGCCCTTATTGCCTCCATGTTGACCAGCCCTGTGATTCCTCTTCTGTCCCCATCTGAATCCCTGGCATTTGACTCAGCTGACCTTTCCCTCACTGCAGCCGTACTCCATTCTCTAGGACTTCTCCACGCCACATACTCCTGGGCTTCTGCCCACCATTTTGCTCTCCCTCTCTCTGTCTCTCTCTGTCTCTGCCCACTCCCTCCCTCCCTCTCTCTCTCCTCTCCTGTACCACTTGCAAATTTTGAAGTACCTTGGGGTTACATTCTCTACCTAGATTATATCATGTGGCCTCATGATTTTAATACTATTTTTGTGCCAGTGACTCCCAAATGTATGTATCCAGCCCT